GGACCTTGGTAAAGAATTGTAAATTGCTTGAGATTTGTGCAGCACAAATGCGTTCGACAATTACTAGCTGTTCTGGTACCATAGTTGTGAATTTGGCTATTCGTTACAAAAAGATTGAGAAGCAAAGGAGGCAATAAGTTATTTCTGTAATAAAACATGAATTTGATGATTTCAAGAGTATTGACTCGGAAAATATCTAAAATTCCTAGTTTGGAGAATAAAGGAGCGGAATGGGCTCGATAGTCTGAGTTGGTGATAGCCCGCACAGCTCGCTTTTGCAAGTAATAAATTCTATTTAAGTTAGATACGTATGTGGACGACCAGGCACAGTTACAATAGACGATATAAGGATAAATTAAGGTGTAGTACAAAGTGAGCTTGGTTGTAGAGGATAGGAAAAAGCGAGACCTGAATATAATACCTATTGATTTAGTGATTTGTTTACATACATAGTTGATATGGTGTTTCCAAGTGAGATGATCATCAATATAGACCCCAAGAAATTTAGTTATCTTATATTGTTGTATGGGTTTACCTCCAAAGGAGAGAGAAATGCTGGAGTTAAATTTCTTCTGTTTGGGTTTTATAAATTACGTTGTTAGTTTTCCTTATATTAACTGAGAGCTTATTGCATTTTAGCCGGACATCAATATTTTGGAGTTCATCATTAGGTACGGATTCTAAGCAATTTGGGTTTGAGTGAGAATAAAAGATACTGGTGTCATCAGCGAAAAGCAGAGGGTCTGTTAATTCAGAGGCATTAGGGAGGTCATTTATGTATAGAATGAACAATAGAGGGCCTAAAATCGAACCGTGAGGGACACCACACTTGATAGTTTGCATAGGAGAGCAAGCTTGATTGAATTGGGCAAATTGCTGGCGGCAAGAAAAGTAGCTTTTGAACCACTGCAGAGCCACGTCACGGATACCATAATGCTCCAATTTTGCAAACAAGATATGATGGTCGAGAGTGTCAAATGCTTTGGAAAGATCTAGGAAAACACCCATCGTTGTTTCATGTTGGTCGATTGCAGAAGCTATTTTATTTACCAAATGAATTAGTGCGTGCGATGTCGAGTGATTTTTCCGAAATCCAAACTGACAGCGGTAAAGTATATTGTGTTTTTCGGCAAATTCTACCAAGCGATTGTACATGACTTTTTCAAAAAATTTGGAAAAATTAGACAACAAAGAAATAGGTCTGTAGTTTACAAAAAAGTTAGGATCCTCTGCTTTGAAGATGGGAATAGTTTTAGCGATTTTAAGTTTGTCCGGGAAAATGCCTTTTAGCAGAGATAGATTGATAATATCTGCCAATGGAGCAGAAATAAGGTGAAATGAATATTTAATGACATGCATTGGGATACTGTCATAGCCAGGAGCTTTCTTTGAAGCGAACATGTCACAAGTGTTTTCCAGTTCACTTGTTGTGGTGGGCTTTAAGTCTATGGAGGGACGGATATTATCGCCAAGATAAGAACGAAAAGAAGGATTCACCTTGGGTATAGATTTAGCTAGGTTTGGACCAATGTTTGTAAAGTATTTACAGAATCTGTCAGCGATCTCCATTGTTCTGCCTTCAGATTTGTATGATGTGGGAAGAGATGACCTACTTTTACGTTTGTTAATGACTTCATTTAACAATTTCCAAGTTGTTTTGAGGTCATTTCTGGCATTCTCAATTTTGGAGTCGTAGTATTTACGTTTGGCAATGCGAATAAGATGGGTGCGTTTGTTTTTGTAGGCTTTATACTTCGTCTCAGAAGATGTGGAAGATGAAGTGACAAACTTTTTGTAGAGTCTGTTCTTCTTGTTAACGGATTTCAGAAGTCCACGGCTAAGCCATGGAGAAAAGAACTTGTTTACCTGCTTACCTTTGAGAACCTTTAAAGGGAAACAGGTGTTATAGATTCTGGAGTATCCTTCAATAAAATCATTATAGGCTTCATTGGGATCTTCCATGTGGCGAAATAAGGACCATTTTGCGTTTGAAAGGTTCTCGTTGAATTTATGCAAATTATCGTCATTGAATGTGCGCATCACAATTTTTCTTTCTGTGCTGCGCGTTAGAGTTGCGTTGTCAAAATATGCAAAAACTGTTAAGTGGTCAGATAAATCATTTAGAATAATGCCGCTAAAACACAAGGGGCAAGGTTGTTGGTGAATATGTTGTCAATTAGCGTCGCAGAGTATGAGGTGAGGCGTGTTGGATTGGAGATGAGAGGAAGAAAGGCGTGTGAAAATAAGCTGTCAATAAATTCCTGTGTTGGAACATGATGATTGTATTGGAGAAGGTCTAGGTTAAAGTCTCCCATCACATAACAATGTTTATTGCCTTTAGAAATTAGTGAGAGAATATTGTTGAATTTGTCAATAAACATAGCAGCATTTTGATTTGGTGGTCTGTACACGCAACCAACAATAATATTTTTTCTGTGGGGAACAATAATTTCCAAGAAAAGTGACTCAATTACATCTGGATCTGAAAATTTGCATTCTTTGAGAAGTTTGTATTCAAGGCTGTTTTGTAAATAAATTCCAACTCCGTTGCCTGTTTTTGATTTACAATGGTTGGAGACAAAATTATATCCCCTGATATTTACGTGCTCAGCAGCGCAATCAGTTAGCCAAGTTTCTGACACACCAATCACAGAGAACGGCATATTCAGATTTCTCAGCAATAAATTAAGTTGATCGAAATTTCTCATTAAGCTTCCAGTGTTGAAATGTATAATAGACAAGTTTGTTTTGCCGCCAAAAAAAGTTACTCTATTGTTCAGATCTTCCTCAACCATGTAGCCACTATTGGGCAGGCGAGTGATAAAGTTAGAGTCGGGATTCAGATGACTAGAAAGTGGATTAAATGATTCGGGCTTTTCAACAGGATTAAATAATAATGTTTCAAGACGGTCGGCATCGTAACTCAAGGGACCATGAGAAAATTCATAAACTGCTAAATTAAAGGAACTATCATCCAAGTGATTAAAAGGAAGGAAAGATTGCAAGGGTGTGTTGTCAGCCATCAGAAGAAGCAAATTAAATTACAGACTAAGTTACAAATTCAGAGTACTTAGCTTAAAGGTAACCTCTCTTGCCGAGCAAACCTTTCAAGTTTGTCAAGGCTTTTGAACTGGATAGGGCGGGAGTCTTCCGTTTGCCGTAGATAGATGGTGAAGTTCTTACACCAACAAAACCTGAAGCCATTACGAGTTTTAAATTTTTCATATCCGCCAGGAGTTGTTGAACCTGCGGAGTTAGATGATCAAAAAGCTTCACGTTCTCTAGTGTGCAATCGGCAGGTAAACCAATTGAAGAAGCTGTAACCTTGCATGCATCTTTCTGCACGTTCATGACCTTCTCTTTAGCAATCCTTCTTGTGAACTTGCAAACAACTGGTCTCAGGCTGGAAGTGGCGTTTCTGGTGGGAATACGATGGGCAATATCGATATCTTGAATAGAAATTTCAACTCCTGCAGCTTGAAAGAGGCTAAGACATAGTGTAGTTGTGTCGGAGGCTGACTCACTTGCTTTTATTTCAGGGAGGCCGAGGATCTTTACATTGTATTGATAGCTGTAGCGCTGAATCAACTCTATGGATTTCCCAATCTCTTCCACTCGTTTAGACAGGACATTCAGGCGCGCCCAGAGCTGTTGTAAACTTTTATCCGCTTCCTGGCGAAGGTCATCGTAAGACTTGCCATAAAATTGGAGGGTGTTCAAAGTCTCGTCCTGTGATATCGCCGGTCGACTTGCTTCGCTGCCATTGTTGGAGACATTAGCATCGTTGACGCTAAGTTTGAGGGAATTCTGAAAGTCGTCAAAATTTTTCTTTAGAGCAGCAATTTCTGATTTTAGGCTTTCATTTTCTTTTTTAAGCGAGTTAACATTCGTATTTGGCATAGTTAGGGGGAAAAAAATTGCATTAACGCGGAGCGATCAGATATTCGTCCGCACACTTCGCTCACACACGCACAATCTTAAAAAAAAAAACACAAGTTAGTTGTTAAACACAAGTTGGCAGTATAAGTTTCATTTATTTTTCAGACCACTCCATGTGCATTGTTAGGTTGAATTTTCGAAAATGCACCCAATTTGTTGGCCAGCTATTCTAGAAGTTTGCAGAAACCACAACATTTTTTTATATTTCCATGGTCCTCTACCCTATTTTAGTCAGTGCGGATAAGAATGTCCTGGGAAAGAAGTTGGAATTTTGCACTGAGCCAAGATAAAAAGTTGTAGGTTGTTAAGTATTTATATATTCGTGCTATTGTTTAGGTTCTTGTTGGATTTTGCTTGGAAATGTAAGATTGCTATAGAAATTGAAATGTTCTTGGATAAGTGTGTGACAATTTTCTTTTTGTTTATATTCCAAAAACAAACAATAGCTTCTATTCCGAAAATTTTGCTTTTAATTTCTTTACCGCAGAGCAAGAAACAAAATGTCAAATGGCAAGAATTGAACTTGGTCATCTGCCTTTCGGCTTTTAGAACAGTAATGTGAAAAGATCTGTTTATTGTAATTAAAAGACATTTGTGGATTTCTCTGTTGGATCTATTGGATAAGAAGAAAAGTAGACGAAATTTGCCGTTTGAGTTTACAGCAATGAAACACAACTAACAATAAAAATAGCCTTATTAAATGTAAACAGCAGAGGTTTGGGGTGTGTTAAGAGCTGCCCTACTTGAAGCTATATATTTTCTTTAATTGGACTTTTGTAAATTTGGATTGTGATCTAGCACACACGTTTAAAACACATAGACGTTTAAAACACATGACATCATCCACCCTTGTCAAATGTAATAGCATGATCATTTCAATTGTAATGCCTTCTTATCTCAACGTTACTTTGTTTCTTTGCTACTTTAGCGAACACTGAACTACTGCTCGTACTCTAGATATGACAAACAACCACAAAATTCCCTAAACCAGATAACATTAAACATAATCTAAAAAATCATGTGTCAATTCGCGAGTTTTCTCACAGAGCACTTTGATTTAGTCATGCAATCCTGGCAAGATATTTCTTCTTTGCACATTTAAACGACTCTCTTTGTTGTTTCAGATTATCCTGCACTGTTGCACAACAAGTGCAGGCTGGAAGTAATGAGGTCTCACTTTTTTCCTCTGTAACCTCAATGCACCCTTGCATAAACCCTACAAAATTTCAAAACAAAGTTACAGAGATTTATGGAAGATAGACTGAATTCCTCAAAGAATTTGTAATCAGTTACTCAGGAGGTCTTGAGAAATATTTTGCAGAGGTATTTTGAGGAAAGGTACCCAATTCTTTCTACCAGCAAACTTTGTACAGAAATTTGCATTCCACTGTCAACACTATCCATGATGTTACATAGGTCCTGGCTACTGTAAGGGGTTTCAGCCTTTTGCAGCAATGTTGTGATTATTTGCTGATGGAGATGTAGGGCTGGACCACGAGGTGACATCTTCTGAGGGATGCACATTGTCTGTCACATGGAAACCTAGCGAGAAGAAAATATATATATACCACTGGAAATCGTATTTGTATTTTAACAATCCAACTATTACATTGAATGAAACAGTTAAAAGTTGTTTCTATGGGCTGACATGTTTGTTAGTTCTACCAACACACAGCAAGTTGCTCTTAGAGAAACTGATGATTTTGTTTAGATAATGAGAATGGAGGCCTTTCATCTTTGCCAGACATTATTCTCGAGGCCTAAAAGTAATTTACGTTTTACCTTCTTCTTCCACTGAAGTGACTGCAGTGGAGATGCTGATAATCAAAAGCTACATTGCATATTTCTCAAGACAGACACTAAACTCTTTTTTGCCAATTCCACAGGGTATGAGTTTTTTGGCTAAGTGGGCGTCAAAGCCTTCCTTGTTTGCCAGGGTTATGTCTGCAACAAGTTTTATAACCTATGTCTAAGATTAAATAAGTTTAGTATATGAAAATCTTGTTCAGTCACCTTCACTGTCTTGTTCGGTCTAAGAATCACTTGGAATAACTTAATGAGTAATTTTTAGACAGAGGGGACTGAGATTTAGTTAAGTTACAGTTAGTTTTCTAATACATAATAATAACAATTCTTTCAAAATTTTCTTATCAAAAACTCCAAACGGGACAACAATCACTAAATTTAACAGCATGTCATTAAAGAACAATGCAAGTTGGTTATTTTAAAGGGGAAGGATTAGACTATAGTAGATGTGAAGACCATTTTGATTTGCTCTGACTTTTCCTCCGCATATGGTGAGTCTCCTTTATCTGTAAAAAGCTGAGAAATAGAACCTTCTGATATACACTGTGGAAGTCAGGTCTTTGAATTCTCATTTCTTCTGTTGTTAATGGCCATTTTACAGCTGCAGGTATACAGTGCTCAGTTCAAATCATGCGCCTACATTTTCTATCATGTTAGAAATCTATCATGCATGCATTGATGTCAGTCATTGCACTTCATGAATTGTCTTTGAAAAAATGCCAAATGATGAGTCTCTGGTTTTCCCCACAACCTTTACAATTGCAAAAAGAACGTCCCTCTTTGTTACTAAAAGGTTGTCTCCATGTCAATTAGGATTTTAACTAATTCATCCTTACTTACTTTAAGGGCAGCCTTTCTTGGAAGAACTTGATATGATCGCCCAGGCCAAACTCCATAAACTGCCCCATCCGAGTAATGGAGGGAATGTGGTTGTCTTTGCCTGTTGGAATGTGGTGTTGTGTGAAGGGAAGAGGTTCTCATTGATTCCTTCTCCATGTTCTCTGCTAACAATTTTATAGAAAAAAAGTGGAGTTGTCCTCTCAAATGCCCTAAAAAAGTGTTAATAGTCTTCATAAAAATTTAATTGTGCAATCACGAAGCTACATGGGTGTATCAAAAGACTTAATATTCTCACACAACTTACCATAAATCATCATCCAATTTAAAGTTGACTGTCAGCAGAAAGGTGGTTCTGGGGACTTCACTGCTGCCTGTCCTTGTCTACTTCCTCCCACATTAAAACGTAGACAATGAAATATTTTTAAGGGTATTGGGATGGGAGGAATCATCCCAGTAGAAGGGAAGTGTGCTTTTCACCAGTTCACTGGCGACTGATTTGCTTGATGATTGTGACAGGAAGGTACCACCAATCAGAGCATGAATCAGCCTGTGAGAAGAGGGCTTGCCTCTGGCTGGTTCTCCAATAGCCATAGGTGGCAAGCAAGAACCTGAGAGAAAAATGCAAGTATTAAAGTGTTAAGGCCTAATCAAAAGGAACATCTTTAAGTGACGATTTTCTATTCAATGAAAAAGAAGCTGAATACGATTAAACAACAAGTAAGACAGAGAAAATAGTTCTAAGTTGTTTTGCACCTGGTTCTAGCACAGTTTGGCAATAGCATCAGCTTGATCTGCTGTTGTATGTAAACCAGAGTGCATTTGCCCTGTAAGATGCCTAAATCCCTTGGTTTCAGAGAAAAAAGAGTGGCTGTATCCTGTTCTTCTCAATTCCTTGCAGAAGTGATGGCTCATCTGTTGATATTTGGCAGCAGTTTGGGCCCAAACAGTGGGCGAAGAAAGGATAGTGAACCATTCAGACACCTTCATTAATCTGCACAGTCGTATAAAACAAAACACTGAAAAGTAGCCTGCTCACAGAGTATGTGATCTTAGAAGCACATAATTTATTTTGTTACTTACCAATTATTGAGAGAACTTTCTTGTAGTGGAACACCAACACTGTGCCAGAAAGCAGACAGAGAAACTGATAGAAGTAATTCTTTGTGAACTTTTTTGAAGCTCTCAGAAATATTAACCAGCTGAAAATTTGTAAAGGGAGTTCAATTTGGGGTGGTGTTGACTTGAGGTATTCATGAAGGGGTAGTTCCCTGGTAAAAGTTGGAAGCCCAACAAGGTGAGGCACCATCCAACTGTACCTCCTCTCCTCTGTGATTAATGTCCCTTGGCTGTTCAACTAAATATAAAAGGGAATGTTACAAGCATCGACTGAAACAACAATTTTAAACTAGCTGGTATACTTGCCTGATAAAAAGGCTCTATCATATTTTGCTGACTTCATTCGATGTCTGTAACCATTTGTTAGTGAAATCGTGCTAGTGAGAACACAGACCTAATCATAGAAGTCCAATGTTTTGAATGGTTGTTTACCATTGAAAAAACACTTTTATTTTAATCAAAAATAATATATTGACGTAGTATTTCAGTTCTGAAAGTATAGTCCATGGTCAAAACCAACATTAAAAAACAAACGAGAAAGCATAACCATAATGCAATTTTTGGATGTGTCCATAGAGTAAAGCTCTGGATGGTAGATTTTTAGGAATTACACAAAGCACTGTTTAATTTAATGCAATGAAGGTCTTTCCATTGGATTCTTTGATAGACATTTACTAGTCAGTTTTGGTACCTCAAAATCTGGGCAGCATTGAGATAGAAAATGAAACATTTTGGCAGGTGAGTAAACATTGCTGCTAAAACTCAGTGATGCCCCTATACATTTTACTTCTGGAGCTATATAGGAGTCATCATTCGTGGACAGACAGGCTTGCTTTGAAACACTCAGAACTGCTGAACTGGATCTAACGCTTTGCCCGAAGTCAACAATTAGTGGGTTATATTTCACCTCAGCCACATTTGAACTTCAATCAATAAGCCCCTGAAAACATTTAATTCCTGTTATGTGTTCTATAATTTTTACATTTGTCATATTATTTCAAGATCTGTTATTAAAGCCAACCTATCAACTTAGTCTGCTGCATAAAACAATCCAACATTATTGCCTCAATGAAATGAATTTATGTCAAAATATGAATATTCTAAGCACCCAAGCATCTTGGTTGTTTACAAGTAGTAAACCTTTGGCATTTCAAAATTCGCGTTCAACTCAAAAACTTATTTTCAGTGTACCCTTGTAAACACCAGTTGAAACAGATTCTTATCTAAATACCAGTAATCTAAGCACCCAAGCATCTTGGTTGTTTACAGGTAGTAAACCATAAGCATTTCAAAACTTGCATTTAACTTAAAATCTTCTTTTCAGGGTATCCTTGTAAGTACCATGTGAAATAGATTCACACCAAAATACAGGTATTATAAGCACCCAAGCATCTTGGTTGTTTATGGTTAATAAACCTTTGGCATTTCAATACCCATGTTCAACTTAGAATCTTCTTATAAGAGTACCCTTGTAAGCACCAAGTGAAATGGATTCACACCAAACTACCAGTATTCTAAGCACCCAAGTATCTCAGTTGTCCATGGGTAGTGAACCTTTGGTATTTCAAAACTGGTATTCAACTTAAAATCTTCTTATCAGAGTACCCTTGTAAACACCAGGTGAAATGGATTCACACCTAAATACAATAATAAGCATCTCTGTTGTTTAGGAGTAGCAAAGTTGCCACATTTCAGAAATTTCACTTAATTTAAAAACTTCTCATCAGAGTACCCCTCTAAACATTCACTTCTAAACAGGGGTATTCTAAGCACACAAGAATCGCGGTTGTTGGAAGTTGACTTAAAGGAAATCATAATGCCTCACTCCAAGACAATATATGAAACATTGGTCGTATTTTATGCTGCTGCATGTCAGAGAACTTCCTTGGCAAGTTATGAACAGCACATGGCCCCAAAGATATGAAATCCATTGCTGCCAGAATCACCCCTACTCACCAACTGCCAATTCCAACTGAATGCATTCATGGACACTCCTGATGGCATTCCAAACTAAGTGAGGTTCCGAGTGGAAGTCCAGAAATTCATTTCGAGTGCTTCACTTGAAGGGCAAAGTACCTGCAATAGATCAAGGCCTGCCTTCATCAGAGAAAGTGTATTTGAAGGAGTTTTAAATTTCATCCCATCATCGGAAAAAATGCTCCTGGTCAAGAAATCAACATAAATCATACCCCATTGATTGCATGTGGGAAAATGGACTGGAACCAAGATTTGGGACATTTCTGTTGAATTGGTTTGTTGTACCAGCCGAGATAACTTACTTGATTTGAGGCTTTTTAGGTCTGACGTCATCCAGGTGAAAAAATTTGGAAGGTAAGTACACTGTTGTGTTACTTCCCTCCTTGTTTCTTCCAGATAATTTCCAATTTATATGTCAATAACAAAGTTATCAAGGTATCTCTCTTCTACAAGTTCAGCAAAGTTCAGAGAGTTGATTGACTTTCTCTGAAATTTTAATATTGCCTGATGTGATTCAGATGCCACAATGCCTTCATAATTGCTTCCTTTTCTCAGTCTGTGCAATCTTTAGTTTTGGACATCCACTGCTGCTCTGAAATAAGTTTATGCTTTGTTGTTGCAACTGTACAAAACTTTCTAAGAATTCCAATAGCGTAGAGGTCAAAGTTTCCAAAGCCAAACATTTTTACTCCAGTAAGGGCCCTCTTCTGCTTTCCTCTTTCTTTAACCATAAGTGATATAGCATTGTTGAGCAAACTTTCACTTGGACGTTGCATAAGGGTGAATGGATCAGTGACCACAAAGTGACCAAATAGAACCTCTATTTCACCACGGAGTGAGGACAGTTTAGGAAGCCTGTGGTTTGCCCTTCATTGCTTTTGGTGCCAATTTAAGAGATAACACAAACACCATTTATGTAGCTCTTTATCCTGGCAAAAAGTTCAGATACAACAAGTCTTTTTTCATGCTGCCACATAAGGCCAACAAAAAGTCCAAAGGAACAGACAACATACTCTTTACTTGGTTTTCTTTGAAAGGTTTCTGCTGCCCTTTCTCTGGGACCAACTCACTGAACAGCCTCTTCTCGCCATTGCTGAACATTACACTTTATTCCCGCTTTAATATAGAGCAGCTTTTGTCTGGAAAATGGCTGAAAAAGATATTCTGAAAAAAGAGGCATGAACAATTCCACGTTTCCTATGTGACTGACTACCAGTTCCTTTGATGATCGAGGCAGGGTGCAAACACTTGAATAACTGGCCACGAGAGAGACTGCTGATGAGCAGGCGATTTTCCCTCCATTGCATTTCAGCACCAAAGCAGATACTTAGTTCAACTGAAATTCAAATTTGCCTCATTTTTCATATTAACTATTACTGGGTAATAATAAATCCAAATTTCTTGTCTTGTATATTCCTGCTTGTTGAGCTCAATGGCATGCCACACAAAGATGTGTTTTAAGAGTCTGGGAACAAGTAACTTGCATAATAGGCATGGTTGTGTGATAAGTGTGAATGTCTGATAATCTTTGTATCTTTTCACATTTTCAACTGAATGGTTATGTAGATTGTGTGTGGAGCATTCTACCGCAGCAAAAGAGACAGCAGCTGGCATGGCAGCTGAAAAATATCGATCTTGAGGTGTAATCCTTGATACTGCTTCAAAACTCACGTGCATAAACTTCATCGACAACCGTCCAAAATATGAAATACTTGTCTATACTTGTTTTTTTTGAAGTACCAAAAATGGCAGCAAGCTCAATTTTTACACTGTTTCAGCATTTGGTTTGCATCCATTTAAAAACCTCTAGCTACTTACAAGTGATATCCCCCTAATAATGAAACTTTAAAGGGCACATAGTGGAGTGTTTAGAGGGTAGATTTCAATAGATAGACCTGTGAGCCTGTGAGACCACGTTTTAATTTGTTTCGGCCACGGTTTTCTCTAAAATTGGGTAAGAGCAAGTTGCTATTGATTTTCTAGCAAGTGCAAAGTTCTAGCGGGAGTCAAACTTTGTTTAATACTGACAAGAAAAACACAGTAGAGAATAAGTTTTAATTCTTTTTTTATTATTTCTGGGGGTGGGAAGACACATTACTCCCTTGCAAAGTCCAAAGATTTTGTGAAGTATCCCATTTCAAGATCTGCCATGGGTTTTTATTTCATGAAAAGTGCGAATTGTACTGCTGTGAGTTTGTTTATTAAACATATCAACTGATTTCATCTAGCAAAAGTCAATAAAGCCATAAGTATAACTGACAGGAGTTAACGTCTGGAGTAGATGGTGGGGGGCCAAATTCTTTTGTTGTCCAAAGCTCTTCATGTAATCTTCAGTTGCCTGCATCAGAAACTGGCACAACTGGGAGTCACTCACACTTTCTCAAAGGACACCACCAACAGAAGCAAACATCCAATTAATGGCGCTCTAGGTGATATACACTTATTATTACATCTACTACATTCATTATTACACTATTTTTTATTATAATAAAAGTAATAATCATCACAATAATATAATATTTGATGAAAATCTTTAATAGTCATATCAGTAAATATTAATAGTTGCATCATATTTAACAGACCAATAGATTTCCTTGGCAAGTAACCGTGGCAATTATTTACTTTCAAAAAAAAAATGCTGACTCCAGTTAATTGAGGGGGTTGTTATTTTAAACTTCATTCGACAAACAACAAGGAGCACATGTATGTTTGGCACCTGGGTTATTATGGCAACTTCAATTTAAGTGAAACATGTGATGGCCAGAAAGAAATCAGTCAGGTGCTAATAACCAGTTGAGAGCTCCATCAAAGAAATGACAAATTTTTATTCAATTTACTTTCCTTTCCAAAGGTCAATTTCTGCATGGTTCTAATAATTTCAATACAACGAGTTCTCATTTTTTTAATTGCTTTTAAATTATTCTAAAAAATGATGCAACATTTTGTTTTTTTTTGCTTTACTGAAGACTTAAACACAACAATTCGTGAACTAGGGAGTGGCGCTTATTTCACTGTTCACACGTATGCCACTATTGTGCTTTATAGTTCACACATTGCTACATACCTAGACTTTCATTTGTCAAATTCAAAGCAAAAGTGTGAGTTTTGATAGGAAATGTAATAGCAAATTCGATAATGATTCTTTCACACATGGAATTTATTAATTGCTTGCTTCTAAACCTGGGGGATCGTCTTGGATGTCAAACACATTGAAAAAACTACTGCATGCCACTATCATCCTCTCTTGATGCATACTTGTCAACCCATCAAAAAGTGTTCCTCAGACAGAAACGAGGGGCACATGGGGAGTTCTAAATATTGCAACACCACATACGAAATAGAACAAGAAATACAATCGACACCACATTATAAAGATAGACTGAAGATTTACCTGGACTGGTTGTGCTAACCTTTACCATATGCTGGTCGTTGACTGGCCAAAAGTGCATGTGGTAGAGGTCCAGAGGTCAATTAAAATATAAATAAACATGGCCACGGGTCAATCAGCTAATGATTAGTAAAGATTATCTTGGATGTATTTGCTATTTTGCTTGACAATTAATCATGGGTTATTGAAGTCTAGTTTTTAAAAGGGTTACGGAATTAACTGCAACGTCAGAAATGATGTATTTTACAGAACACCATCAGTTTGAAATTACAGACATTGTGCATTGTAAGGTTTGAGATCACTGCAACACCGCAATGCAAGTTGTTCTTTACTGCAATATGGCATTACAAAAAGGGTCAACACTGTAAACCCCAATATCCTTCTCAGAAATGTTTGATGTCCATCAAATCTAACAATGCCTAATCACAACCTATCGAATTGCTGAGCGATTACAATTGAGAGAAGGTCTTTGTAATTATTCAATTTTGCACTTGCGTGCTTGAGCTTAGAAATAGCCTTTTTAGGCACTTGTATATGGCAACAGATTTGAAAAAGAAATTGATTCTAGAACTGCTCACACAAGTTTCAAGTGAACAAAAAAATTTCAATACAGATGCCACCTTATGGGGGTTAAAGAAAGATTTAATCAAAGAAGAAGCCATAAGACTCCTTAGAACAAGCTCTTTAATAGACCTTTTGGAGGGAAATATCTAAAGATCTGAGACAGGCCTTCTTTCCAAGGGCCAGAATCAAGAGTTTTTCCACGAGAGGACCAGGCAGGTGTGACTAGGGTCATTTAGTAATTCAAGAATCCTGAGTAGTTCGAGCTCCTGGCTTATTCCTAGGGTATTAGAACCCCCACATCAAATCCCTGGAGTAAAAGGCTGAAATAAGCTTGAAAAATGCACTTCCCATAAATATCTCTCGTGCCAATAGAAGCCGACTGATTTTGATCTAATTTTGTCCAATAGTTGTTTGAACCTTAAGGAAATTAATTCCTAAATTGGGGTAATTTGATATTGTTTTGCTGATTTAGAACAGTTAACCATTAACTGGGTCACACAACTATTCAAAAAGAGAGAAAAAATAGAGATTTTTTTATTTTAATTATCTCTAATGTGCAACATTATGTATCGACAAACATGATCACAGAAATTACCTATCATAGCACTGTGTTTGTGGGCAAAAAAATTTTGGGGCTCTGTAAAAGATGGGTGGTCACAGCCCTCTGAAGTACATGATTGTCGATGTTAATTCATGCAATTTTTGCCAAAAATCTGATGTTTATTCAGTTAATTTCATTTTGAGAATGGGATTGTGGATGTTCATTGTCGTGGAAGTAATGTCTAAACATGACAGGTTTGTGAGCTGAGAAGTCACTCATTGAAATTTTGTCACTCTTACAGTTAATTGGAAAAAATGTATATTTATAAATGTATGTGTAAATCATATATTGAACATTCATACAGAATTGAGTAACAGATGTTAGCAGTTGGTAGTGAGTTTTGCCGAATATAAGTTTCACAAGTTCAACCCTTTACATACCTATTATGATTATGCTCAATGTACCACAAAACCATTTCCATGGGACAGTTGGGGCTAGAGGCCTCCATCTGATTTTGGGTAAGTTATGTGACAGTTGTTCTTCATATTCTTAACTATACCTTAATTTAGAAAAAAAAACAACTGATCTCTGACTGAAAGAAAACGCTGCATAGTTCGTTTAGCTAAATATTATTAATTTTTTGAGAAAATCGTTAATAACTAAATCCTGAGAATTTGCCACATTTTGAGTTTACAATTTAGGGTGAAAAAGAATACTTCGCATAAAAAAATTACACACTCTTAAAACCATCACAATTTCGGGAAAGAATCAAATCTTTTGAGCATGAAATTAAAGGCTCATTTGACTTTCTTTAATAGCATATTAAGACTTCCACATTTTCATAGTATAATCCACATTTTCCTTGTGGACGGAGCTGGATGTTCTCAGCAAGTTGGATTTGCCAAACATGTGTCTACAGTAATGCATGCAAGAAAACTGCTTAACAGTTGTGCAACCAATTTTTATTTCCAGAATTGAGAGCAGAACTCTGTTGCAAAGTACATTCTTGTGCCTTTCACAGATTGTACATTTGCACCTCTACTGTGGAGTAATAAATGATGTCCAGCTATGTTAAAATGATACCTGAAGAAATTAGGTATCCATCTGTGCAAATCTTTGATATTCACCTTATCAGCCATGATGGACAAAATCTGCCTTCAAGACCTCCAATGATCTGTGTTGTTATAATGTTCAGCCAAACACTCCATTAGAGAGGAGTCAATAGCACTTTCTTCAAACTCTGATTTAACCTGTGAGGACAATAAAGTTTCAGTTTCCTCGGGAACAAACTCATCTAAGCATGCATTCACAACCTGTTGTACCTTTCTAGTATAAGGCCTTTTTGTCTACGCGGAAGCTTCCGCCCATGGTGTTTCCAGGGAATGGTGAGTTGGGCTTATATCTCTTGAAATCAGGAATTTGTTCAACTTTTCCCTCGACATTACAGTTTTTTCTTAGGTGAAAGATGGTTTATAGAGATTACTTTCTTATATAGGACTTGATATTGTGGTAAAAGAGGTTTCATCTTCCTCTTCATCTTCCAACTCATCCCTCTCTCTCTAAACCACAAAAAATGAAAGAGAAGAGAAAAAAGGGAAAATTTAAGTAAAGGAGAAAAATACAGCAAGGGAAAAGGGCGGGAGGGATTACAAATAGATTTAAATCTATGACAATTTATTGAACAGAGGTCAACTACAGAAACTAATCATTCGTTCCAGTGTCCTCATGGTTATCTTTCCTTTTGAGTGATATTTCGAAAGAGTATAGATTAAAACATGTCAAAATCCCATATGAACATAAAACTGTCGTTTGCATCACAATAGCCAATGGTGGAGCTTTATTCGCAGCACTAGTTTCTTGTAACTGGCCCCAGCAAAAATCCGCAGGAACCAGCCAAATGTTCTACTTATTTTGAGACCAAAAAAGTATGGTGTGATCAG